GGGGGCAGCTCCTGCATTAAGCGTCTGCCCCTGGTGGTCAGTGTGTGTCATAGTGACCAGTCATTCCCAGGTGTTCTGCTGTTAGGGTCAATTTGCATATTACCCTTTTATTATATAGGATAGCCAAGAGTTGGAAGCTTCTCTCCTACCTTAAAGTTAGATGAAATGTCACCAATTCAGAGAAGCTTGTCTAAAAATGCCAATACCAAGCATCACTACAACATGCCACCATCGTTTATCCTCTATCATAATTCCCTTTTCATTTCCTTCTTGTCTCTTGTCCAATAGTGGTAATTATTTATTTTACTTACATTTCATTCATTTACTTATTGTTTGTTTAATAATTTATTTTCTGTCTATATTTCTAAAATGTAACTTCAATGAGGCAGAAACTGTCTACCTTGTTCATTGTTGTATTCTCAGCAGTTAGCACATAATTGATACTCCCTAAATATTTGTTGAATAAACAAATAAATAACTTTAGAAGAAGTGACACAGAAGATATACATTTTGGTGTAGAGCTTTCAATGTCATATGTGAAGTTTTGTTTTGACATGCATTAAATCACAAATGCAGGCCAGGGTAAAATTGTTATGGATTTTATAGCATTTCAGGCCATGGTCATGTTCATGTAGAAAATATATGTGTTGGTTAGTCCTTCATTGAAGAAGTAGCATATCTTGGCTTATCAGACATAAAACAAATGTGTCCTAGTGTACTCTCTTACTGACAGAAAACAGCAAATGATTTTGAAGGCAGTAATATAATTCTAGTTTAATGCTATTTCTAATAATTATAATCTCTTTATTTTTCATAGCCATATTATGAAAAAAAGCGAAGAAATGGAACCTGCAAATTATACCCGGGTGACAGAATTTGTTCTCACTGGTCTATCGCAGACTCGGGAGGTACAACTAGTTCTATTTGCTATATTTCTATTCTTCTATTTGTTCATTCTTCCAGGAAATATTCTTATTATTTGCACCATCAGGCTTGACCCCCATCTGACCTCACCCATGTATTTTCTGTTGGCTAATCTGGCCTTCCTTGACATTTGGTATTCCTCCATTACAGCCCCTAAAATGCTCGTAGATTTCTTTGTGGAAAGGAAGATAATTTCCTTTGGAGGGTGCATTGCACAGCTCTTCTTCTTGCACTTTGTTGGGGCCTCAGAGATGTTCCTGCTCACAGTAATGGCCTTTGACCGCTATGCTGCTATCTGCCGTCCACTCCACTATGCTACCATCATGAATCGACGTCTCTGCTGTATTCTGGTTGCTCTTTCCTGGATGGGAGGCTTTGTTCATTCTATAATACAGGTGATTCTCATTGTTCGACTTCCCTTCTGTGGGCCCAATGAGTTAGACAGCTACTTCTGTGACATCACACAGGTTGTCCGGATTGCCTGTGCCAACACCTTCCCAGAGGAGTTAGTGATGATCTTTAGCAGTGGTCTGATCTCTGTAGTGTGTTTCATTGCTCTACTGATATCCTATGCCTTCCTCCTGGCCATGCTCAAGAAACATTCAAGTTCAGGTGAGAGTACCAGCCGGGCCATATCCACCTGCTATTCCCACATCACCATTGTGGTGCTAATGTTTGGGCCATCCATCTACATTTATGCTCGCCCATTTGACTCTTTTTCCCTAGATAAAGTGGTGTCTGTATTCCATACTGTGATATTCCCTTTACTTAACCCCATCATTTACACATTACGAAACAAGGAAGTAAAGACAGCCATGAGGAAGTTGGTAACAGATATATTTTATGTAAAGAGAAGTGAAAGATAAATGGACTATTCTATAGTCCTTCTGAGGCTCACTGCCCTAAAGTAGGAAGCACTTGCAGTGGTAATAATGCTGCTTTCACTAACTCCTTTCTTCTGAGTTTTTAAAATAGCACTAGTTTTTTCTCTATTTGGTGAAGAAAAAAACATACAAGGAAGTTAACATGGAAATAAATTTACTCACACCACCCCTAAAATTTCTGCCAGATCACTGTTAGAATTTACAGTGTAATCATCCTCTACTAAACATTTTTTACTAATAATTTACTGAGTAACTACACTGGAGAAGCTTTGACTGCGAGGAGACTGTTGAGAAATAATAAAATGCCTAAAACCTGAGAGGCATGCCCACTATGAATATGAGGAAGTAAGTAGCTTTAAGTGACCAAATTATATATTGCTGTCATGTCTCAATCTTATCCTAGTGGCATGGTGAATCATCCTCCTGGACTGTAAAAACAGATTATTGTCTCCTTTATCTCTTCCCTTTGGCAGAATTAATGATCAAAATTTAGGACTCATTTATATAAGTTATTTCAACTGATATTTCAGGTGGAAGTCACATAGTTTTGGTGTCAGAGCATAAGTTTGCTAGAAACAAATTTTATGAATTCAGAACAGTGCATAGTACCAGAGACCCCTCTCTTTCCAGAGTAAGTCTCTAGCCAATTAGTGGTTTTTATAGCCAGTCTCTACTTATATCTTCCAGAATGAAAGCAGACTTTGAGGAAAGGGATTCTAGTTTGACTGGGAATGATAGACATCTAGCTATGCGATTTTTAAAAGACTGATATCACCTTTGCCATTTTTGTATGTTTTCTGTATTTGCTAATTCTGCCTTTTGTGTTGAAATTAAATAAGTAGGGTACTGCTTTTATTAGCACTATAATTCAGAATTATCTTTCATGAAACCATTTTTAGTACACATGGAAGAAACCTAGATATATTGGTTTTCATAATCCTCCTGTGAATTATTTATTAATGATCAGCTTGCTATTCCCTGGCACTCAGATTCCACCTATTAACTATGTTTCAGAATGTAAAAGATAGATTAGAATATTTTAGTTCATACAAATTTATTTACTTAAGTTAACTTTTCAGTTTCAGAATGAGAGGTCTCTCCATCAAAGGGTGAGAACACTTTGTGTCCTTTGAGCTTTAATCTTATATTTTATTTGACTAATTTATTTATTTATTTAGTCTTATATTTTATAACATGGCTAGACTTTAAGGAAAGTAGATTCCTGTCAGCATCAGGAATAAAGATATATAAATGAATGCTAAAAACAGTTCTAGGATAGTCTTTACTTATATTTGATTTATTAATTGAAGAAGTAATCTGTGCCTGACCCAGTGCACCTCAGGTACACAGGATGGAATGATGGTGCATAAAGTTTGTTCTTTGCTTTGGGAATTTTTCTCTGTTATAACACTCTTTCATCTTCCATGTTACAGTGACTTTCCTTCAAAGCACCCAAAGGCGTTGAATAAAATTATAATTCCTGAATTTTGAGTTGATTTCCCATTGCCTGGAAATGTATAAAACAGTAGACTTCTTTAACATTTTACAACAGAATATGAAAAAAAGAACATAAAAATACACATACATAATAAAAATGATGAGTTGTTTCTAGATTTTATGTTACCTTATTGTTATTTCTCTGTATCTGAACAAGCCAGATTTCTATTCATGTAGTCACTTATCTTTCATTTAGCTAAGATTAATGTTCTTGAGAAAAAGACTACTGACTTAATATGTTCTTCAAACATTAGTATATTGCTACAGAGCATATTTGTGG